GTTCCTCTGCTTACTTATAAAAGTGGACAAAACTGCCTCCTACGAACTCTTAAAAAAAACCTTTGTAGGATCAATTAGCCCATTTTTCCAGAGTGAAAAAACAATCTAAAGAGTAAATTTACACATGATGTTTTTAACCTGTTATCTGTTAATAAATAGTGACTGCTGAGTGTTGGAAGCTGACTGGTGGGCACTCTTCTGAGTGACTGTCTGCTTTATCTTGGGTGACGTGGAGAGGATGCATCTGCTCTGGTCTCCACTCTGCAGATGGGGACAATGAGATGGACAGAGGTCCTACTCTCTGTCCCCATGGATTTGTGTATTATAGGGACCTTGCAAAAGTGAAATCATACAATATTTGGCCCATTGTAAGTGGCTTAATGCACTTGGCATAATGTCCTCAGAGTTCGTTCATGTTGTCACATGTGTCAGAATTTCCTTCCTTTTCATAGCTGAGTAATATTCCACTGTGTGGACATAAGACACTGTTGCTTATCCATTCATCTGTCATTGGGCATTGGGGTCATTTCCACCTTTGAACTATGGTGAACATGGGTGTGCAAATATGTCTTCAAGTCTCTGCTTTTAATTCTTCAGGGTATATACCGAGGCGTGGAAATCTTAACCATTTTAAAGTGGACAAGTCAGTGGTACTGCGTGTGCTCAGTGCTGTGCAACCATCGTCACTACCTAGTTCCAGAACATTTTTTTCTTCAATAGACTTTATTTCTTTAGAGCGGTTTCAGGTCTTAGTTCCAGAACATTTTAATCGCCCCAAATGGAAACTTGTACCCAGTAAGCAGTTTCTCTCCATCGCCCCTCCCCCTAGGCCCAGGCAACCACTAACCCACCTTCTATCCCTGTGATTTGTCTGTTCTAGATATTTCGTCTAATTGGAGTTATACTGTATGTGGCCTTTAGGAAGCTTTTTTGAAAAAAACAATGTCCATTTGTTTTTTGTTTGTTTGTTTGTTTGTTGAACCCAGGACCTCATGCATGCTAAGCATGCGCTCTACCACTGAGCTATCCCCACCCCCCAGGAATCTTTTTAAAACACTTTTTATTATGGAAATTTTCAACTTACTAGAAAGTGGCACAGATTGCTCAAGGAGCTCTGCGCGCCTGTCGCCCAGATCTGGCCTTGCTCGCCCCTCCCAGCCTTGTTAACGGCCGTCTCCTTACCAGGGAGGAAAAGCAGTACGTGCACCGACACTGGAAGGAGGTCCGTGTGGGAGACTTCGTGCGTCTTCGCTGCAATGAGATCATCCCCGCGGACATTCTGCTGCTCTCCTCCAGTGACCCCGACGGGCTATGCCACATCGAGACTGCCAACCTGGATGGAGAGACCAACCTGAAACGGCGCCAGGTGGTCCGAGGCTTCTCCGAGCTCGTAAGTGACCTGGCACATCTGCGTGGGCTTCCCGGGCCGGTCCTCCAGGCGTTAGAGCGCCTATGTGCCTTCCATCATGCCAGGTGGATTTTCCCAGTGGGTGAGCGTGGGTCTGAGGGTCTGAGAGGACCCCAGCCTGCCCGAGCCCATAACCGGCCTACAGCTGTAGGGACCAGGACCAGCTATTATGACTCTGGTTTCCACTGTACACGCCTTTGACTTGGAGTCCCTTTAAGGTTCCCAGGAACACTTAGGGCCAGCTGACTGTTCGCATTTACCCAGCTGTGTCTCTAGTTGGCTAAATGGCAACACAGAAGTAAGGACCTGACCCCCAGGTGTGGCTCAGGAGTCTTCCTCCTCCAGGGTATTTCTGAGTTCAGCATCACAGACTGAGTTTAGAGGAGCTCCAGCCACTGCTCAGAAATGTACAGCCTGTGAGGAGTCGGGAGGGAAGCAGCGTCTGAACACCTGTCCTCACCAATAACCTTGTGGCTGGAAAATCCAGACCCTGCCAGGGGTTTCCAACCTCTGTCACCCTCCAAGTCTGCGCAGAGGATGCCAAGGTGCAAACTCTGGGGCACAGAGGGGAGCATGAGCCCTCAGGGATCATGGCGTATCTGGAAGGGCCAGCCCGCACCTCGGCTCTCCTGTCTCAGTCATGCTGGGGGTCTGGCCATCACCACAAACTGGAGGAAGCTTTAAGGCGGGCCCAGGGAAGTGAGCTCCTGAGTTTCAGGAGGGAAGCACTGGGCAGCCTCTTCCTCCATCCCATAATGGGTGTCAGTCAGTGGCCCACATTGGAGATTCCTGCTCTGCCATCATGCCCCCCACATGAGCTCCTGCAGGAGAACCAGGCCTTAGAATCAGGACTGGGGGGCTCCTGGGGCAGCTGGCTGGTTTTATAGCCTGGGGTGTCCCCAGGGCAGTACTGGCATTTGAGGATAGGGTGTTCCTTGGGTAGGATTGTTGCCTCCTGCTGTGGTGTCCATGCAGTTGACCCTTGGTCACCGTGACAGCCAAGGCACCTCTGCACACTTGCAGAGGGCCCGGCGGCATTCCCCACCCCGGGGCTCCCACCTGGCCTCGGCTGGCGGGACTTTCTGAGCCTGAGGCTCACCCACCTTCTGCAGAGTGGCCCGGACTTTCACCGGCATCTGGCTTGTTCTGCCCTCCCTTCCATCCACCATCATGATCTCCTCATTTAATTCTCCTCTTTATTATTATATTATTTTTTAATGCTTTTTTGTTTTGGGGGGAGGAGTTAATTACATTTATTTATTTTTTTAGAGGAGGTCCTGGGGATTGAACCCATGACCTCGTCCATGCTAAGCATGCGCTCTACCACTCGAGCCATGCCCTTTGCCCCCTAATTCTCCTCTTGTGTCAAGTCTGTTTTTGTGAGCTGCCTCCAGTCTTTCTTGGAATCAAGCAAAACATACCTAAATACTAAAACTCTTATTTTTAGAAAATGAGGTGCTCTCCTCCCAGATCAGGAGAGTTGGTGACGGTGCTTATTAGGGACCCTCGAGGCCCAGCGCTGGTGTGTCCGGCAAGTTCCAGCTTCTGCACTGATTGTGCTCCAGGGTTTGGTCATCTAAACCTGCCTTGTGCTGCCCCTCGCCCCCCAGGACCCGTGTGCATGTTCCCTGAGGTCCCTCTACCCCCAGGCTTTCTCCCCCAGGCCCCCAGAGTTCCTGAGTTCCTCAGCCTTCTCCAGGGCACAGCCCAGCTTGGGGACAGACCTGAGGTCAGCAGGGGTGCTTCTGGAAGGAGGCAAGCGGTGA